TCAAAATTTGGATACCGCCCAAGCCTAGCGAGCAGGGATAGGATTGGAAAGAGGGAGTGCAGGGATTCCCCACAAGGTAGCTAAAGAACTATCCATAAAATTCCCTTCGGCCCCAGAATCGACCAAGGCTGAAGCAGAATTAAAAGAGTCACCAAAATGGACAGATACAGGGAGAACAGTACAAGAGGAGGGGGAATTCAATAAAGGGGTAGCGCCCACCAGGATCCCCCTCTTCACTGGCGAGCCACGGCTTTTAACGGACAGGCCACTGCAAAGTGTCCTGGCTTGCCGCAGTAGAAGCACAGGCCCTGGATAAGGCGCTGTTGTTTCTGTTGGGGAGTCAGCCGAAGACGCCTCACCTGCATGGGCTCTGAACCCAAGGAAGTAGCATTAGCAGCCTCAGGAACAGCAGAGGATGTGTCCTCCATCCTCCAGAGTGGGCGGAAGACCGGACGTTGACGACGGCGGCGCAGACGTCCTTCTACCCGTAGGGCCATACTGATAAGATAGTCAAAATCTTGAGGAAGGTTGATGAAGGCCAACTCGTCCTGGATTTCTTCTTCAAGCCCCTTACGAAACATGGACATGCAGGCCCCTTGATTCCAGTCGCAGGAAGCCGCCAAGGTATTAAACTAGATGGCATACTCTGTGACTGACCGGCTGGCCTGGCGTAAACGAGCCAACTGGTCCGCTGCCTCCTGCCCCTGAGCAGATCTGTCGAACAACCTCACCATCTCTTGTCTGAAGTCTTCGAATGATGCACAACAGGGAGCTTGGGTTTCCCAGACTGATGTTCCCCAATCATGGGCCTTGCCTGCGAGCAGCGTCAGAACATATGCCACCTTGGTTCTTTCAGCTGCGTAGGTGTGTGGCTGTAAGGCAAACACCACAGACCATTGAGAGAGGAAGGCTCTACATGAATTGAGGTCCCCATCGTAAGGTGGTGGGTTGTTGCATCGGGGTTCACGTGGATGCTGAGTGCCAGGGTCCACTTGCCCCCCCTAGGCTGTGTCGTGCTGTAACTCATGGATCCGTGCGGTTAAATCAGTGGCCAAGTACTCCATCTCCCTGGTGGTGTTGGTCAACCTTGCCTCATGCTGGCCTAGCAGCACACCCTGCTGGGTGACTGCACTAATGACTTGATCCGAACCCGCTGCGTCCATTTCTGGCTAGATTGTTCTGTCAGGGAACACAGGCTGACACAAGTGCAGGTTAGGAAAAAGTTTATTTTTGATCAAAAATAACCCTTATAGGGAGAAAATCTAAATCCAACTGGGCGCTTGATATAAGAGAAAAACAAAACAAAAAAAACTGCATGAAAAACTCCCAGAAGAGGGCGCTGTTAAGTCTTTGACAACAGAGACCGGGTCCTGTCACCAGACACATCCAAAAGGGGGCGCCCCGTTCACAGTCTTCAAAAACGGAGAAAGCAAAAGACAGCCGGGGTGAGCCAAAAAGGTATACAAACAATAGAGTCTATAATGCTGTTACCCGGCAGGGGGCGTGCTGATATGTTGCCGGAATGCGGAAGTGGAGCGTGAGCGAGGGAGAGGAAGCCGACAGTCAGTTGAAGCCGGTGGGCTCCGTGAGGTTGAAGCAGTCCGGCCTGGGAACAGAGGAGGTTAAGGAGAGGCAAAGTGCAAGCAGATGGTTCTGGCGTGGAGCAGCACAGACAGGATAGGATAGAAGAGCCACGACAGAAGACAAGACGAGAGTGGCTTGCTGTGGGCGCACTCGCAAAACAACAATCTAGCACTGGACTACACACAAGGAGGGGAATAAATAGGACACGAGAGGAATCACTAATAGAGTGCAGGTGTGTGAAAATCAATCTTTATAGATGGTAAATGGGGTAACGAGAGGGAGGAGAGATACGGAGAGCGATCAAAATAAACATTCACGTGCGCTCGTCTGTCAATGACTTGTCAATGACTTTTTTTTGCTGGACTCTTGAATAGGCGTGAATAGGCAAAGTGATCTGTGTCGTTATAATGGCGTTGACAAACTTGGTTGGTAAAAAAGGTGCACAACCAACAGGAACCAGCCAAAAGTATCTGAGATTTTTGCTAAAAATACAGCAATACATACAATAAGTACAAGCGTGAAAGTGAAAGATTGAACCAGTCTACTGACCCGCTGGCTGGCTGCCTGGACCCGCTGTCTCGAGCGCATGACAGTGTGTGTGTCTGTGTCAGAGGCTAAGCCTGTGTGTGTGTAGTCACGTTATGTGTGTCTTCACTGGTAGTGTGGAAGGAGGGCTGCTCAAAAATGCTAGGTGAAATGCAAGAGTGGATGTGGATCATTTTCGTTCTAAAATGCCATTTAAAAACTAAGACCTATTAGTGTAAACAGGGCCTGAGTGTGTATTTTTCGCGAGCGGATTTGCAACGGGGACGGGGCAATGGATAACGGTGCCAGCTCAGCATTATGGTGACTGTCGGCCATCGACGATGGACGATGGCACCGTCTATCAGCCCAACCCTAGTTGTCACACAGTGTTATGTCTGGATTTCATAAATAGCCTTGCATTTACCAACACAGACTATATGTGAAGTCTTTGGAAGTAATTCATGCTTTCCTCCTATGGAAAAACGTCATAAGAACAATGCTTAGTAGCTCAATGTATTACAACAGTGTTTTTAAAATTCTTAACACTTTATTAATATAGTGTACAACCAAGCACATGTGGTCAGAACACAAATGAGTCTCAGGTAATAAAGTATTAAGCATTTCTCCCAAAGAAAACCCTAAGCAAAAAGCTAGCAGGTATCTGTAGCGCCACTCACCTCCGCCTCTTTGCCCTTGTTTGGTATCCCCCACGAACAAAATGGCGATGGTTGGCCACGCCCACTTGTAGCTTCTTTGCATTTTTCATGTAACGCTTCTCTTCCTGATGACACAAATCACTAAGGCAGACACAGAGAACTGCGTTCTGCGTTGTTTATTCTGTAACAGAAATATATATCCTCTGGCAACAGTATGCATTTAAACATGCATCTACCGCCTTCTCTGTATTCACCAACCATTTCTGCTGTGTTGCCACATAAAGTCATTTTTAACAAAACATTATTTATATACAAAAGTTAAACATACCTGTAACAGAAATATATATCCTCTGGCAACAGTATGCACTTAAACATAAATCTAAAAAAAAACGAAAAAACAAATAGTAAGAAATCACTCCTGCTTATATTAATGTTGTCATTCCAGCTACACATAGCATGAGCAAATTAAACCACACAAAGTTGGTCACACACACGGCAATCACTCGACAGATTTGCTATAAAACACCACTTAATGTTCATATTGGGCTTGTATGTGTTATTAACATGTGTTACAATACAGAATTTGTCACATTTAGCTGAATCACTTTTACCTACCGCCTTCTCTGTATCCAGTAACCATTTCAGCTGTAGGCGGGGCTTTGCAGGTGAAAGGTGAAAGAACCAATTACACACTGTTACCACAAGAGGTCTCCCAACAACCACAAAATAAACTTTTTTTGGTGAAAGACAATTTAACATTATTTTAACCCTGTTACATTCAGAAACCTATGGTTGACGCCATGGATATACATCCATATCTTTTACAGTCTATGTTACAAACGGGTTAAAGTGTGTGTTTGTTGTTTTGTAAATAGCCTAGCGGTGTGGCTTTCGATTAAGTTTGTTACCTCAGATTTTAAAAAATCTTGATGTAATTCAAATGGTGTGGGGCTCAGAACATAGACTTAAGCAAATTTGCCATGGTTGAAGCTTGGAGAAACAAAAAAATTAAAGTTAGTCTCTGTGTGCACAGATGGAGTATCCGCGATCCTTACCCAGATTGGCCTGAAAACTGCAATCAGGCGCACAGTTTACTTAAAGAGTGTATTAATTTTTTTATTATTTAGTGATTCCTCCGCCTACCACTAGAAGGAAGCCACACTTGGAGAACCACTGGTATCGATAGTAAGATAGGCCTTGTCTGTGTAAGGTTTTTTCAACAAACGGAGAGCAGGCAGAACGAGGGAGACTCGCAATCAAAGAATCGGTGGAGATACAGTATGTCTAAACAATGCTGGAGAACAGCAGGGTTTGTTCTGTTGGTGTTGTTTTTGTCTTTTTTAGGTTTGAGTGGAGCAGAAGAAGGAGACTCATGACGGGAACAGTGGAGATATACTTGAGCTCAGAAAGCAGGTAGAACTGCTTGAACAGACCGAACAATGGAGTTAGTTTCCAAAGAAATGTATTAAGATTAAAGAATTGATATCTTTATCTTTGGCAGACTGGCATGGAGCATGTGGAGAAACAGGGAAACACACCTCAGTAATGACAAGAACAAAATAAATTAGGTACAGCCTTAAAGTATTTAGTGTAATCAAATGAACTTTATTAAACATTTAGAAATTACATATTTAATTTTTTTTACAGTGTCACAGAAGAGACGGGATTCAGGTGGACAATATAAACAATGTTTATTTACCGGATGGCAGGTGAGTATAAGCAGGTGAGTTTATTGATGCAGATGATAATAGCTCATAAACATAAACTGGATATTTGACTTTGCAGGCTTGGACTCTAGAGATGGATACCACAGACAGCAAACAAGATGAAGTTCAGATGAGGAATAAGGATGCACTGGAGATCACAGGAGATGTTAGTAAATGATATTTTAGAATCAATACTGATGGTGTATAGGGAGTTCAGTCTTTTCTATACAAGGGACGGGGTATGTGTATGGAGTCTTTATAGTGCTGTGATGATGATGGTGATGATTGTCAGGTGTTTGTTTAATTAGACTCTGGTGAGGGTGCTTGTGGTGCTTCATTGGCTGAAGAAACTGGTCTTAAGCTGCGGACATACTGATCTTTTCTCCCCAAAGACTTCCATTTATGTGCATGTGAATATGTCCGATCGGAAACACAAGCTTGTGCGACAAGTTTTGCTGCCTTGGAAAGTTAAAGCTTGGTGAACTCTGACCTGGGAAATTGCAGAATGTGACTGCATGAGACCAATCTTAGATCAAAACATGACCTCTATGGACAGAAATGTAAAATATGGAGCAATCACTCGCATTTTTTAAATGTCTAATTAATCCCACCCCTTTTCACAGCGCCGTATAACAGAATTTTACATGCTCAAACTCAAGTGTGACCGCAGCTTTATTGTGACAGTAAGTGATGGTCAGGTATTTCTTTCAGATAGATAGAGATAGAAGAACGGTATCGAAGAATGGTATTAAGTTTAATTAATGACTTGAAATCTTTTTATTGTATTTTTCAGATCAGACTGTACCACATGGAGGAAAAAAGGAATACCACACCTCAGCAAAGACTGGATGGTCAGGAATTTATGTTAAAAAAATCTGATGGACCGGTGCATTGATGGACGTCATTCCAAGATTAAGGAGTGGTGGTTGGTATAAATCAGGGGTGCTCCACCATGTTCCTGGAGATCGACCTTCCTGCAGATTTCAGTTGCAACCCATATCAAACACATCTGCCTGTAATTATCAAGTGGTGTTTAGGTTCTAGTTAATTGGTTCAGGTGTGTTTGATCAGGGTTGGAGTGGAACTCTGTTGTAAGGTAGACTTCCAGGAACATTGTTGAGCACCCCTGGTATAGATAGTTAATTAGGCCTTGTCTATGTCAGCTTTTTCTTTTTCAGGTAATGGAGAGAGAGCAGGCAGAAGATGGAGACTCACAAGAGCATTGGTGGACATTTATCTAAAAAATGCTGGAAAACAGCAGGTAGGGCTCTTTCAGTGCTGTCTAAAGGTGCGTCCCAAATCGCATACTTATGCAATATTCTATGCCATTTTCCATTGTAAATAGTTTTAGTGTGTTCACACTGAAATATTCTTAAAGTATATTTTTAAAAAATCTGATGGACAGGTGGATGGATGGATGTCCTTCTGAGATGAAGAAGTGGTGGTTGGTACAGATTGTAATTAGGCCTCGTCTGTCAGCTTTTTCTTTTTCAGATAATGGAGAGAGAGCAGGCAAAAAGGAAGACTCACCAGAGCATCAGTGGACAATTTTTTTTCTTTTTTTGGTGCTGTCTTTGTTTTTTGCAGGTTGGGGTAGAGCAGAAGAAGGAGACTCACAATGAGAACGGTGGAGATATACTTGATCTAGAGCTCCTGAAGCAGGTAGAACTGGTTGAACAATCTGAACAACGGAGCAAGCTTTCAGAAAAATTTATTAAGATTAATTAAAGACTTAATATCTTTCGTTTTGGCAGACTGGCATGGAGCATGTGATGCAACAGGGAAACACCTCAGTAATGACAAGTACATCATAATTTAGGTACAGCCTTAAAATATTTAGTTGAATCAAATTAACCTATAAAAACATATCGTAATTTTTACAAATTAAGTGATGGTCAGGTTTTCGTTCAGACAGACAGACAGACAGACAGACAGACAGATTGAATTGAACAATTAATATAACTATTAATATTTTCTTTGTCTTTTACAGAGTGGAGTGGAGAAACTAGGGAATCACATCTCAGCAATGATAAGAAACCGATAGTCAGGTATCACGTCAACGACAAATGTCCAAGAGGAAAGGTGGGGTGATGGGCTTGAGTCGGGCTCAGACTAAAGAAGTTTTAAAATCCTAACTGATAATAAGATCTGGTTGCAGCACACACGAGAAGAGTCTTCTGCGAATTTATTAGCCTACCTCAAATCTTAAACGTGCACACACTACAAGATATGAAAACTGTGGCACACACAAGATTATCATGACCGATAATGCACATCACACTTTTTATCAATAATAACAATTTATTAATATACTAATATTAGACCAACTGCCACTACTGGCAAAACACTCTCATGCACTCAAAATACATTAGGTTCCTGTTTGTGTAGCTGTTAGTGGCGGTTATAAGGTTAAATAAACGGTGACCAATATGAAATATGTCAAATGTCGAATAATAAGAATAGGCTTATAATCTGTCCATCGTGCCACGATGCGCTGTGCTTTCTAATTCAAAAGCAAAATTGTTACCTGTTTTGCAATTTCTAAAAGCACATTTTAATGCTTAACCATTTTGTTTTTTGGTGATAACTAGCAATGTAGTAGGCATAGCTACCCAGCTACATCTGGGTCATAAATATTTACGCACACAGAATAATAACATTAGTGTCACGACTCGGCTCACTTCACACTCATAAAAGCACTAGATCGCAGAAATGATCAAAACACATTTATTTACATAACACTCGCTGGAACATCGACACGCAGGAATCATGGGTTGACGACAACATGGAATGAAGTGTAGGAATAACTTGAAACTAATGAACATCAAGAAACTGCGGGAAACAGAACAAAGGAGCACTTGATCACAACAGAACCACAAGGGAAAACACAGGAGCACATGGAACACACTGGGAAGTCACATGACGCAAACATAAGCACATGGGACACAACACAGACCCTGACAGTCTGTGGCTATGAAAAATGATCATTTAAACTTATTATCAATTTATTTATTTTGTAAAATGGATGTGATTCTCCCTAGCTCTTCTTGTTAGTGATGCTTGGAGGCCGTTGTCACAACCACAAACGGAATAACTCGCTTTTTTATTACTTATTATTATTTTCGTAATATTTGACCAACTGTCACTATAGGAAAACACTAATAGCCTAAACACTAATCAAAACAGGCTACATTATGTCTCAGTTTGCATAGCTGTTCATGCAGTTAACCTATAAAAATAAACAAACACACAAGGTAAGCCGCAAGTGTCTGTTAAACTTTCTTTCTAACACACAAACGTTCGTTTGATAAATTAGTATAACATATATCTAATAATAATAGGCATTTTGGATATTTATCAGGGTATGACATGCAGGGAGTGGACTGCAGAATGAAGAAATGTTGCTTATTAATTTGTGCAATATGTCTAAATGATTGTCTAATCATTTTAATATTTATGACAATAATTTAAATCTTTCCATCTTGTTACGAAGTTTCAGACTCACTTTTGTATTTACTAATGATGAAATTAACGTGAGAATGTGCGTTGGTCCATGCCAACTTTATGCCTGGCGTACTTGCATTTCTTGTGTGTTTGTTTTATTTCCATTGGCGACTCCTTGAGGCAATTGTGTGAAATTGCACACTACAGAGTATCTTTGAGCCGTGCAATAGCAGCTGTATGGGACGAGATCATTCGCATGTCTAGCAGTTATATCAGCAGCGATCGCCAGTTTTCCAAATGTAATCGCAGCGATCAACTGCACGTACATTGCTATAAAGGGGCTATCTGAAGACGAATTTGCATATGAGAATCGGAAACATTTCCATTCAATAAATGTGCAAATAATATGATGCTCAAATGCGCTTAACATAATACACACACTTATTAATGATTCCTACTTGTCTTCCTCGTGATGAAGAGTAAGCAAAACCTGATATGTAATGGGGGAAAAGAAGAATGAGTTCATCAGACACTGGTTTCGAATCGGGTTCATCATCGAACATGTCAAAACATGTTGCCATGCGCTTTACGAGCTACACCACTAACACAGCTGATTGCTGCTCTCTTTAGTTATGTTGTCTCTGCCAATCTCTGTCACTCAACTAGCTCATTCCAACAAATTGTGTGCTATTTGCACTTGACCTTAATAGACACTACAAAATTTTACACCTTTACATTGGACCATCTCTTTTTAATTCACTCATAGTGCGATGTTCAGACCAAACTGCGTTAACCGCGTCAGCTAAACTCTCCCACTAAATTTTTTATTTTGTTATTAATTCCAGAGGACAAACTTGCAAATAACACCTTTTTTCTCTGGTCTAACTCTGAAAGGGAGCACCTCCAATTCACATTCTGTTCAAAGTTTCTCGCTTTTTCATTTGGTTTTGCCAAAGTAGATTCATTACCATGTTCATTAGGGGGAGGAGGCAGGCAGGGGTTTTGCGCTCATGCACGTGCGCTCAGTTTCACGTTAATTCGGATATACAAGGAGAATATGCATGGGATTCCGCGTACATTACACCTTTCACACATTATCACCTTTCACACATACAGACCTTTCCGGAAAATTACCGTTTTCAAAATTTTCCATAAAGGTCTGTATGTGAACAGGTCTTTAAAAATTTTTGCCAAATTTCCAGGAAAGAGAAGTTGTAACATTACCGGTAATTTGCCGGAATGCTGCACTGTGTGAACACAGAAGGAAACTTGCCGGAAAGAGTGCGCTCAAACTTAAAACGCTCTGACATGAGACATCTACTCCAGCCAATCAAAACATTCAGACACATTCACATCTGCGCTGTTTATATAAATAAAAGCCTTTGAATATTTTTCCAGACAGATTTAGCTGCTAGATGTTAGTCAGATAATGTTTCTATGTTCCTTTTGAATGCCAACTGTGGAAAAAATGAAACCAATAAGCACCAGAACATACACGTATTATATACATGTGAAAGTGTTCCTCCATATAAGTTGTTCAGAATACTTATCCATCCACAGAGTTTGTAATGTCGTCAAATGTTTACAAATACAAGGGCAGCTGTTTAGAGCTCATTTCTGGTTAATGGTGTCAGACTTTACTGGTATTTGGGCTAATGTCTAATAAATTTTGCCAAGTCTTCTCAGTTTATGGGACTAGGCTATATAAACATAAGCCTAATAATTTTTATTGGCTATTGAATTAATTCTATCCCCATCACAGAAAAAAAATGCATTTCAAGAATCACAGTTTAATATGTTTAATAATTTTGGGTTATGGAGATAACCGTCAACGTTTTAGTTACTGGCTAGCAGCTACATGTGTCATAAATATCTGCACACCTGTATTACGTAAAATCTAGCTAATATTAAATGATAATTCAAGTTTATACAAAAAAATCCATATTTATTTATTGAAAGCAACAATGTTCTCCTCATCTCATGGCTTTGTTTATATGGAATAGGTTGGAACGGCTTGTCCTCGACAAGATTTCATCTCCGATTCTTGGGAGGTGAAAATAAATTGGGCTAAAATTCTTGTAGTCTGAGCCCCGCTCTTGTCTGCGGCAGGTGTTTTTTTTCAGGTAATGCACACACAACATGCAGAAGAACACTGGAGAACACTTTGTGCACTGCTGGAACTCACCAAACATGTAGAGCACTGTTAGTACTGTCTTTGTCTTTTACAGACTATAGTCCAGCATGTGGAGACAAATAGGAATCGCACACCTCAGCAATGACTGGAAAGTGATGGTCAAGAATATTCTTCAAAGGCAGAAGGATGGGTGTATGGATGAATGTCCTTCCAATTGGAAGGGGGTGGTGGTGGGCATAGATTGTTAGATAGATGTCTTGTCTGTGTCAGTTATTTACATTGCAGGAAATGGAACCACAACAGGCAGAAGAGACTCACAAGAGCATTGGTGGAGATTTATCTGAAGACTGCTGGAGAACATCTTGTGCATTGCTGGAGATCAGCCAGCATGTAGAACTCTGTTATTCCTGTCTTTGTTTTTGCAGAATAGACTGGGGCCTGTGGAGAAATGGGAATCATTATGATAAATAGATGTCCTTCCAAGAGGAAGGGGGTGGAGGTGGGCTTAGGGTGCTTTCACACACTTTTGTTTTGGAACCAGACTCGTTTGCAGAGTCAGCGCAGTTCGTTTGGCATGTGTGAATTCAGCAATTACGCTCAGATCCGTGCCAAAACAATTGGTCTGAGATTGCCTGAATGAGGTGGTCTCGGCTCAATTGAAACAAACTCTGAAACAGATCGATTGTAGTGAGAAAGTGATGCGATCCAAGCCCGGCTTTATCACAGTGTTTTATGGATATGTAATAGGCATATGGCTATGTAAAGAGAGAATTATGAGTAGGGCAGGAGGTCATTCCAGACATCCCAAATCTCACAGAAGTTACAGGAGTCACCCGCAATTGCACATTGACTCCCGGATGCCTGCAAACAATGATAATCTCCCGGAAATTGCTTGTCTATCTCTGATCAATGTGAGGAGAGTTTGCTCACACATGACTTGTTTTAGCTCTTTTTGTCAGTTTAGAAACATTGCCGTGTGAAAGTGAACCGCATCAAGAACAAAGAGCAACAATGTAACAATTTTAATCCCTGTTTCGGAACAAATGAATCGATTCACAGGTGTGAAAGCACCCTTAGATAGTTAGCTAGAGGTCTTGTTTGAGGCAGGTGTTTCTTTTTCAACTAATGGACACACAGCTGGCAGAAGAAGGAAACTCACAAGAGCATTGATAGGGATTTATCTGAAGAACACTGGAGCACACTTTGTGCATTGCTGGAGCTCAGCAAACATGTAGAACTCTGTTAGTCCTGTCTTTGTTTTTACAGATTAGACTGGGGCCTGTGGAGAAATGGGGATCATTATGATAAATAGATGTCCTTCCAAGAGGAAGGGGGTGGTGGTGGGCTTAGGGTGCTTTCACACACTTTTGTTTTGGAACCAGACTCGTTTGCCGAGTTAGTGCTGTTCGTTTGGCATGTGTGAATTCAGCAATCGTGCTCAGATCCGTGCCAAACCAATTGGTCCAAGTTCGCCTGAATGAGGTGGTCTCGGCTCAATTAAAACGAACTCTGAAACATCGATTGTAGTGAGAAAGCGATGCGATCCAAGCCCGGCTTTATCACAGTGTTTTATGGATATGCAATAGGCATACGGCTATGTGAAGAAATAATTAGGAGTAGGGCAGGAGGTCATTCCAGACATCCTAAATCTCACGGAAGTTCCGGGAGTCTCCTGCAAATGCACAGAGACTCATAGATGCCTGCAAACAATTGATAATCTCCCGGAAATCGCTTGTCTCCCTCCTTGTACTCAGATACTTTGCACACCATTCTAACCCCCTCGCTCTTCAGACACGTCGCGCGCACCCTGTCAAACGCCATCAACCTTTGCCGTGTGAAAGCGAACCACACCAAGAACAAAGAGCAACAATTTAACAATTTTAATCCCTGTTTCAGAACAAATGAATCGATTCACAGGTGTGAAAGCACCCTTAGATAGTTAGCTAGAGGTCTTGTTTGAGGCAGGTGTTTTTTTTTTTTTCAAGTAATGGACACACAGCTGGCAGAAGAAGGAAATTCACAAGAGCATTGATAAGGATTTATCTGAAGAACATTGGAGCTCAGCAAACATGCAGAACTAGATGTTAGTCCTGTCTTTGTTTTTGCAGATTAGACTGGGGCCTGTGGAGAAATGGGAATCATACCTCAGCAATGACTGCAAACTGTTGATTAGGTATTTCCTGATTGGATGGGTGGAGGAATGAACCTAAAAGGTAGAGGGTGGAGGTAGGCTCAGATAGTTAGATAGATGTCTTGTTTGAGGCAGGTGTTTTTTTTTCAGGTAATGCACACACAACATGCTGAAGGAAACAAACAAGAGCATTGGTGGAGATTTATCTGAAGAACACTGGAGAACACTTTGTGCACTGCTGGAGTTCAGCAAACATGTAGATCTCTGTTAGTCCTGTCTTTGTCTTTTACTGACTGGAGGTCAGCATGTGGAGACAAATTGGAATCACACCTCAGCAATGACTGGAAACTGATGGTCTGGTTAGGTATTTCCTGAATGGATGGGTGGATGAATGAATGAAAAATAGATGTCCTTCCAAGAGGAAGGGGGTGGAGGTGGGCTTAGATTGTTAGATGTCTTCTCTGTGGCAGTTATTTCAATTGTACACTGTTAATTAACCCTTGCTGTAGATTATGCAGTAAATAACCTTAAAATAGCCAGTATTTTACTGTAAAACAAGTAGGATTTGTATGAAATGTCTGTCTTATTCTAAACACAAAGGTGTTGCCCCTTTAAGGGAGCCAGGTGTTTGATTTGTTTACTTCCAAGTGTGCTTTATTCTCTGTCTATGATGATGTAGATTCAGATGCGGAGTCTGACATGTTTTAAGCCTTAAATAAGAATCTACAATGAGCAAGTCAAATGTGTTCAAATATTTTTGAGGGTTTCTAAACTAATGTCTATGTCCGTGTATTTGTTATTGTGATTTTACATCTCACAACTTCTTACAGTATTTTTATTTAAGGATATGTATTAATTGGACAACTCAACTTAGTTTGTTTTGCAATAATGTACGGATGACAACAGTGTAATGTGCCTAAGCAGTTTTTAAACACTTTAAAATCATTCAATTCCATACATATAGCCATCCACAGGCAAACCTCAATTGTCAGGTCAGTTTGTGGAATTGTTGCTTGTAACATTTTTTTAGGTACAGTACAAAAGCTTGTGTCTTGAGCTTTTGTAAGTAAATAAACAAAAGAAAAAAAAAACCTATTTGGATCCTTGGTGTTGCTGTCTTTATTTTTGCAATTATATTAAGATATATATTAAGATATATATTCCCCCCTTGTTTTAAAAAAATGAAAAACTGCTTTTATTCTAGCAGAAATAAAACAAATAAGACTTTCTACAGAAGAAAAAAAAATATTATCAGACATACTGTGAGAATTTATTTGCTCTGTTAAACATCATTTGGGAAATATTTAAAAAGAAGAAGAAAAAAAAATCAAAGGGGGGCAAATAATTCTGACTTTAACTGTATGTATATGTCAATTAATGCCATACTAGATCTTATTCAAAACTATATATGGATGAGATACATTTGAAGGCAATATTTTTCACCCTCTTTTGAAATTTGAATTCTTTTTAAATATGTCCCAAGTTATGTTTAAAAGAGGAAACAAATTGTCACAGTATTATAACCTTGTTTACTTTTCTTATAATTAACCTGACTTGCCTAGTTTAATTTAGTTTAGCCTATAAATTGCACTTTAAGCTGATATTAATATATTAGAATATCTTGCAAAGAACATCTCTGTTAAACAGCACTTGCATACATTTTTTGCAGAGGCTCAATGAATTTGACTGGAAAACTTTAAACAAATGAGGTAAATTATTATTTTTTTGGATGATTGTGATAAATGTGGCCAGTTGCTTTGAAAATTTGCTATATACCATCAGTGTTGGGGAAAGTTACTTTAGAAAGTAATGCATTACAATATTGAGTTACTTCCCCAAAAACGTAACTAGTTGTGTTACTTGGTTATTTTTTTAAGGAAAGCTATATGTTACGTTACTTTTGAGTAACTTGAGGCCTCATCTCTTTCAGGACTTCTTTTTTTTAAAATAGAGGAACTCTTTTTTTCAGCTTTAAAAACTAAATTTTTAAAAGCTGATTAATTAAACTAAAAGGCAACCCACATTACATTTTTTTAAACAATAATTCAAATTTTATTTCTAGAGTTTTAAAATGTAAAAAAAATGTTTTGACTAAATTTCTGAATAAAAGGTAATATTATTACATAACTTGCATTAATGCATTACCCTCAACACTGTATACCATCGTTGTCAAACTTGGAGTTCCCAGCCTACTTCAACACACAAGTCCTATATGCACTGACTGCACGTGTTGTTTATTAATTTAACCTCTTTGTTTCATTTTAAATAGAAACTGCATTCATATATGCTGATTGGTTTCATTTTGTCAGACATTTTCTGTTGTATATTTGTTTGCTGCCACAAAAATAAAATAAATTTGTCTAAAAAATTGAAATGCTTTCAATTTTTAGTAACAGTTAAGAATACTGATTAATTTTAGTAAATAACTATATGATATACCATTAATGTGCATGCAGTAGCTAACTCTACAAAGATCTATCTATCTATCTATCTATCTATCTATCTATCTATCTATCTATCTATCTATCTATCTATCTATCTATATATATATATATATCTATCTGTGTTGCCTTCTTGTATTATTGCTTCTTTTACTCTCCTTTAAACTTAATAATAAAATCATCTGCCACATGATTAAATGTATTAAAAAATATCAAACAGCTGTGTGCACAGTGGTGATAGTTTAATTTGATACAGTATGTAACAGGAATAAAATCGGGCAGGTAAATAATTTATAACAAGGCAAGGTTAAACATTTATTTACATTTTTGAGAATTGCAGTTCTTTAATATAGTTGGGCAGACATGATCAATGGAACATTGATTGGGATAACGGATGAGCTGATTTAAGTACTTGGTTGTGCGAGCAACCCCTGAGTGTTTTAACTGTTACATATTTTTGTCCTGTTCATCCATATTCTTTCCTTCTTAATCTTTCTTATTACCAACCACATTAACACCACACCAACCAACCTCCAATTGCATGTGTTAGGAAAGCAAATTGATGACCAGCTACACATTTGATCCTGCTTTAGCATCCTTTTTCAATGCATTGACAGGTTTGCACAACATAATCATGTAAACACCCCCTCAAAACCGAATGACAGCAACCTTTAGTTACTTTTTGTTCTTCCAATGTTAATACAATGTATCAGTTTTGAAACCATGAAATATTCATTTAACCAAGGCAAATTAGGACTATTGTGACAATAACACATCACACAGAGGCACCATTACAGGAATAATGGGAATTATTGATCTACATGGCAATTCAACACTTAATAATGCTGATATTCAGACAAATACAGCAAACGTTAGGAGACAAAAGGAGAGAGAATTATTCTAATCACAAATGCAGTCTACGGGTCAATAAAATTATATCGTGATTATAATCCTGAATCTTAAGTGTCTTTTCCTATAAATCCATTTGGTCACTGACTAATTACAGATATTAAAAGTGTGAAAACAGATGAGCATCTGTGAACGTTCACCATTCCTCTGAGATCAAGATGTCAAATGAAACTAATCAACGGAAATACATTTCCTGTCACTTTGAGCTCTATACATTTGTCTGTACTTTTTCCCTAAATAAATTCCACCGTACAACCAGTCAAATGTGGTGTGAAAAGGTGTAAAACCTTTACAAAACCAGATCTCAATTCTAGCACTTTACCATCTGCCATCACTCTGAAATATCAAGCTTCACTCAAAACAATAAGAGCTGCTCTACTGTGAGTTTATGAATGGATTAGCGATGGATATGAAAAGAACCTCTGTGGACAACAACTACAGGGTAAAATTAGAGTAGCGAGCGTTCACAGTTTCAGTTTCGGACACAAACTCCTTTAAAAGGGGAGCATGATCAACCGTGTCCAAATCAGGTTCAGATAATTAGCTCCGAATTGTATCTTTTCAAACGTACATTAATTTTGACCTCACTGAGATCACATGACCGAGCACTGATCTGCTCCGGGAAGCCCTTGTGCTCCAGGAAGGTGCAGAGCTTCTGGGTCAAAATTCAAGCCAGGAGGCTGAAAGATAAAAAAAAAGACCATGATGTAATTATGACAGCCATTATTGTTTAGTGGGAAAAAGAGGAGGTAAACACTTACAGCCTCTCCAGCAAGCTCTTTTGGAGGTTGACCCAAGTCTTGCAGCTAAGAGGAAGACAATATTTTCATGAACAAACAATATTAACTGTGCTTTTACTTAAGAAATGGAAAACATAGGTACAAAAACACCACACCACCACAAAAAGAAACAGTAAAGAGGTGGTACAAAATTATTCAAATAACTATTTAAAGCTAAGGTGTCAAACTCAGTTCCTGGAGGGCCGCAGCTCTGCAGAGTTTAGCTTTAACCCCAACGGACCCTTTATACAAGCCTGTTATGACGCGTTTAACGGTCATCAGCATCTTAAATTCTTGAAAGTTTTTAAAAGTTTGATTTAAAAAAAAAAAGATAACGTTTAGATGTATTTATGTATGTCATCATCAATCATCATTGCTTCAAATTACAAAAAGTGAATTACTGCTTTAGCGAGGGGTTTCTAATGGGACATGACAGTATATTTGATGTTATTCTCTTCTCTGGCTGCTGTTATCAGTCTCACACAATTTTTATTGTCTTTTTCTGAAAATCTTTATAACATCATCATGGAGTTTTTCTTTTAATATTTGAGCAAATAAGATGCACTGCACTCCCAGTTTTCCCAACTATGACGATCTCCGCTACTAAAAAATGTGAAACTATCTATTAAACATCTATTAAAGGTCTATTAAACACCTGATCTAACTAATAGAATCCTTCAGGCAAGTGTGTTGATGCAGGGTTAGAACTAAAATGTGCAGGGCTGCAGCCCTCCAGAAACTGAGTTTGACACCCCTGATAAAAAGGGTACTACTATGTTTTTTATATTATGCAATATAACTCTCATGTGTTTCCAGAATGTCTGCAAAATTTCAGATCAAAATCACCATGGATCCTTTATTTACACCATGCTGTAAATGCTCATTCGGAGTGGACACAAAAACAGTTTTCAAATGAGTCTCTTTAAATGGAAATGTGCCCCTGCTCCACACACATTCCCTTTACAGAGGTGCCTTTATAGCTCATTCTTTAAATACTCCGGCAGAGACAAACATCAAAACATCAACAAACAACGAAACATCTGCATGTGTTTTAAAGCCTTGTCAGATAAATGTTAACAAGCCCTGAAAAAATTCTATTTAAAAAATGCATGATAAAATGCTAAACTGCATAATACATGACCATTCACACATTTTTGGTATCTTGCCGTTATCCATTCTTGTTAACTACATGTGTGTAATAGTCAGGAGAGTGGCTTAAAAAAATCAAGGAATACTAGGAATCAAGAAATAGTAATAGTCCAACAATAGTCCAGAAAACCCAAACACTGAACAACTGTGAAGTCATGCCTCTTTTCAACAGTTAAAAAACAAACAAGGTCTTTAGCCTTTCAAAACATTCCAATTTTCGTGGGTCAAAGATGGTGAAGTATCATTTTTATGCTCAATCAGCAACAATGTGTACTACAGAAAGTAAAATGTTTATAAAGCGTGAATTGATCTCTTTGTAAATAAAATAAATATGATAATCAAGTTACTTGTTTTTTACCTTTTGCATGAGTTCCAGAATGTTTTCAAATGCGCTGTCTTTGTCTTCATCTTTCTCAAACTGGTTGCATATCTCTCCCATTATCTTGTACTGTTGCTCATACCTCGTGAATTGGTCAGAAGGAAGGGACTGCCGGTTGCTCTCCAACCATTCAGGGTACTAAATGCAAATTGGATTATTTTCAAATATTTCAACATCAATATTTAACATATTCTGAAAGAACAATTTTAATCAATGGTTGGATGATCAGGCAGATGCTGTAAACAACTGACCTTGTCTGTTATCTCTTTAAGTGATGGGTACAGAACTTCTTTGGACAAAAGGTTCTGCATGATGGACTGCATAATTGGCAGAATATTGCCATCTTCTCCTCCTGCCTCCCCATTTTCATTCAATCCCATGTTCTCCAGGGTCTTTACCAGATCATCTCCAGCCAGTCCTGCACTCTGCATTTAGAGTTGATATTACTTTATATGCATTAATACTCAACATAACATTACTTTATATGCATTTCAAATTTGGGGCCAGAAAATTAGCTTTTTGAAAGAAGTTAGTACATGTACACTCGTTTCAGCAGGGTGTTTTCACACCTCTACTTTGGAAAAAGTCAGAAAAGTGGGCGTGTCCAGCTCTGTTTAGGGGGGAGTGTCGGAGCAACTAAAGTGGGATGGTGTGGGAGTGTCTATTTGGGCACGCGCGAGTTTCAGGCAAAATACACACACATGAGGAAGTGATGGTGTTTAACCTACATGGACTGTTGTAGTCGAATTATTTGCCAAATTATTAAATGTAGGACTTTAACTGCAGTTTGGCTCTTTCATTCAGGGAATTCATTCATGCCCCTCGCGACAAACGAGATATTTGATTCGAGGAACTGCTCTAAGCGTGTATTTTTCATGCAATGTTTGATACCGCTTGGCGAATGACAGAAAAAAAAAAACTCAGCATTTCCCGGAAACTTAGATGCACACGGCATGTAGTGTCAGAAAGCCGCGTGTGTTATTCCGGTCACAAAATGCGATGCTATGTTTGCACTCAGTGCAATAGTTAACTTAATTCGATACGAACAAACTGAATAAACAAAGAGCACTGGTCGCTAAATTACCAAATCTGTAGAGACAGGACAATCACCAGCAACTAGAGCCGCGTCTTTATGAAGAGAAGACTAACGTTACAAGCGAATCCGGATCTCAGCGTTTGCAGATGAGAACAGCTCTCAGGTAAACAATGTTCCTCCTTAGACACGTAAGTTATTGTTGTTGAGCGTCGCGTACACTGTTAATCCACACGTGATCCAGATGAGCTCTCACAGAGAGAAAATGAAAACGAAACTTAATGGCAGCAAACTATAAAAGCAACACTTCACGCTTGTTTTGCCAACACAACGTGGCGTCTCTGTGGCGTAAACGCGGTGACACTAATGAATATTAATGAAGTTGCACAATAGAGCGCGCTGATTGGTTTGAACCAAGCCTTACTCATGCATTAATGCATCACACTGTAAGACGTAATAAGACTCACTCTGGCACAGGCGCCCAGTCTGCACGCTGGAATACAACGCTATTATGTCATGACCGTGACGCAGCTTCAAAAATTCGTTTCAAACAGGAAGTACGAATTTGCTTGAAATAACACAAAAACAACCAATTTACACTTTTTAGTGAAATATAGATGTCCTAATAGTGTTTTTAGCAGTGTGGGACACATATACGACTGTCAACAGCTCAAAAAATGTGTTTTGGTGTTTCGTGACCCTTTAACAGGGATGCCTTAAATGAATCAAAATTGGTGGCAAAGACAAAAACAATGTTAAAAAAAACCTTATACTTAAGATAAAAGCTGTTTTTTTAAAACTAAATTAATTTTTATCTTCCACAATAAAATGTTCAATGATACAAACCAAATTAGCATATTAGAAACATTTATAAAAGATCATATGGCGCTTTGAACACTGAAGCGATGGCTCCTGAAAATTCAATGCTGTGATCATGGCAATATTTGACATTAACATTATTAAAAAAACAATAATTTTAATATTAATATTTTGCAATATGACTGTTTTCAGTGTACATTTCTTTCAAAACTTTAACAAAACATTCCAATCCCAAAATGCGCACCAGTTTTTTCACACCATATTTCAATATACATAAAAAAAATTAAACTGTCATTACCTGCAAGTTGTCTGCATTTTTGGCCAAGCCATTAAGGGTCTCTTTAAGACAGGAGGTGAACTCTTGTTGTGAAGCTACATCTGTGCCTACATTTAAGAAACTTCGTCAACACAGTTGACGATGAACATGCATATCCTTTATCCATAAGCACTCCATTTCTGGTAACTCACCGACTTTTCCTGCTGCCTCAGACAGCTTATGAAAATGCTGTAGAAGATCAGGTTCTTCTTGTGCTAGCTCAGCCATGGCTTTTTCCCACTCCTCACGTGCTTGGTTGGCCATCTCACCCTCAAAAAGAGATTCAAAGAACTTACTGTCCTCCAGTAGCGGAGGCTGAAGAAGAAGAGAAAGAGGGGAAAAACATTATCCAGCAGTAATGATGCATCAACAAACCCAGAGCAGAATTGCAGGAGAAGACAGAAAATGAGAAAATACATTAAATAAACAGGCATCATATTAAAATGAGAATGTTTATTACCTTCTCGTTACTCTTAGCACCGGCATCAGGGTCAGAGGGGGCTTCAGGGGCCACAGGTGGCACACTGGTCTTGTCAAAATCATCAAGAGCACCTGCGGTTGAGAAAACACTTACCTTTTTATACATGTATTATGATGTATTACATTTATCTGATGGACAATTATCATGTGACTGGTTTCATCCAATCACACGATTTTAACAAGTTGGTGCTATAGAACTATGGCAGCTCCGATAACAAACTCCGTTCAGATGCAAAATCTGGCTGCTCATAACTTACGAGCTTCTAATTAATTAACAAATGCACATCTAAAGTGTTACAGTGGAAAACATTAAGTTACAATCACTGATGCGGGAGTAAGAACTGACAACACGAGACAACTGCTTAATAAGCGGTAGTTTAGCGGATGGTAAGGTTATTATACAAGCTCGCCAATTTAAACAGCAATACTTTAATATTTAAACAATCGTCAAACCTTACTGTCTAATAATTCGTCCAATTCGCTGTCTGGAGCCCCCTGGTGCTCTGATGCTGACGCCATCTTGCTCCTCAATGACAAGACAAGCCAGTTTGTCGCAAAAATATGACGTCAGATACACAGTCTTTATTCATGTTTGTTCCTTTTGCTCTGACATTATGGAATTAATTGTGTTATTTCGAACGACAGTAATTATTTCATACTTATGGAATTTTGTCTTTCATAAAAATAACGTTATGCATGTTTAACATATATTCAGAACGATTTTAAACACGGTCTACGTTCGGGTAAAAATAATTTACATAATTTTCTTCACTATATGGTATTTACACTGGGTAATTTATTTCTTTGAAACAGTGCCCCCTTCTTGTTTACTGATTCGTAATTCCTTCACTTCCGCATGTTCTTATGAGGTTTCGGTTTTAAAGTAGACCCGCTTTCATATCAGTGTTTGGTTGTCACAATTTATGTTGATCTGGACCTTGACATGGGATACGAGTGTGTCTAATCGATTCATTAATATCAATTAAAGAAAAGCCATGGCTCTAAATAGAGGCGCTATTGGATTATTCCTGAAGATTACTTGTCTACTTTTTTTGGTGAGTTTGCTGGTCATTATGCATTTGTCATAATTACTTATAATTTTGCATGTTTTTTAATCAATGTTACATTGTATGTTTGTTTAAAACACATTAAGGCAGATCTATGATACATTTCCTTTTAAGAATGCAAACCAAACTCAAGTTAGCCTATCATATTTTGTAATAATAGATGTTTGATATGCAAATAAACAACACCATCAGTTTAGCTTACATTCAGCTCAGATGAAGTGCTGCTGTTGATTTGTAAATGAGTGTTAAACAACACTTAAATTTGTACTCTTCGCCATATAAAGAAAATCATAAATATTCATATAAATGCAGTTTAATGTTACAAATAGACCTAGAAATACTTATTATAAAGGATTATATGGTTTGTGAATTCAGCAAAATATGATTTTGTGTATGTTAATTGAAGTGTTTTTCAATAAGAATGACTTCTATCATGTGTACGGCACATGACAGGTATTGCGAAATACATGAAGTGTTTCCTGTTGTTTTAACCCCCTTTTTCTCTTTGTCCAGCTGACTGGTATTACAGGTCTTGGTGGTTCATTCTTGCTGCATAAATACAGAGTTTACGGCCTATTTTTTAGCAACCTTTATATCATTTTCCCAGCATTGCTGGCTGTTGTCAGTGGAGCCATTCTCTTTATCACTGGAAGCATTGGCTGTCTTGTGTCTAGCAAAAAACCTTCATGTGGACATGGATTGGTAAGATGGAGAAATGTGTCCTTTTATTCAGTGAAGTATATTGCTGTACTCATTATAAGGATGCTCTGTGATTTAAGGATTTGAATGTTTCTTGTCTTTCAGTTTGTTTATTTCCTCATTATTGTGTTTTGCGTTGTGGGTACCACTGCTGCATTGGCATACTTTTATCAGGGAAAGGTAATTGGAGTTCTACAGTATTTGGCGATACAAGAGTCAAGCGTATTTCACTACAGTGTCTTTTACAATATTTTACATGTCTTTTTTTCAAGCTTGATGCAGAGTTGGCACCCCTTAAAGATGTGTTTCAGAACTACAGTAATAACAGTCAAGATCCGGATACCAAAGCAGTGGATCGTCTCCAGAGTGAGGTATTTGCATCATGGCATTTCTAGAAATTCTGTTTGTTTGCAAAATCAGATTGTGATCATTTTTTTTGTTATAGTTGCAGTGTTGTGGTGTCATGAACTACACAGATTGGTTGCAAACGCCCTGGTTTAATCACAGTGGGAAATATGATGTTCCTCAAAGCTGCTGCAACACAACCTTTCACTCGTGCAATGGGACTTTAGATGCACCCATGCTTCTCTACAATGAGGTACAGTCACTAATTCTTTTTGAGCTACCCATAATCTAAAAAATATTTTCCTATTTTTTTGTCTCTCCATGATTTCCTGAGTTTTAGCTGAGGCAGTACTATTGCATTAAATTCTGTTTTCTGAAGTAATGGATTAGAATAATTCATCTATGTATTTTGTCTTTTTTTTGTTATAACTACTATTATAACTACTTTATTAAAACTACTATACCACACTGTAATGTATATATTTTTTCTTTTGATGATTTGATGTCTTTTAAACTGTTTCCCAGTATTGGGCTGCAGCTGGAAGGGCACTTGGAAGTTGGCAACTATTTTAGTTGGAAGTTGGTCTAGTTTGAATAGTTGGCAGTTAATTCTCCTGTGGCAACTCCTGATTACAAAGAGACTAAACCAAAGAAAAATGAATGAATATTTTTTTAAAAGATAAGAAGAAACTTATCCATTTTTATTATAAGTTTATGGAGTATATAATGTTAAATCGGAATATAGATATTTTTAATTAAAGGTGCACTCACACTAGGGTGTCCATACCATGCCTGGGCACATTTTTCTGGTTTGTTTGACAAGTTTGAGTGCTCCCAATCGGGTCCAGGTGCTATTCAGTTGGTTGGCCCTGGCCCGGTTGGAAGAGGTCTGCCAGAGCGCAGTTCAGTTGGACTTTTGGTGCGGTATGTTTGTAGTGTGAGTGCAAAGCGCGGCTGAGCCCGAAAGCGAAGATACAACGTCACTTTTAAGGGACTGTTTAATATGGATTTATTGATCATTCTTCCTTTTAAACAAACACGAACTGTGATAGTTTTTTTAAAGACGCAAACCTCTCGCTGCACGTCAGCTGCCACCTTCAGCAAACCTCTTAACACGTGCAACACAAGGACTTATATTATAATATATCAACATCAAAAGTTGTGGATCTGTTCCACAAAATAATTGGCTGATTGTCACTGCATCCCAAACGACTGAAAGTAATACAAAACTTTTGATTGTATTTTATCTGGAAAATGTATTTAAACTGTTTAGACATTGTGATATTTAAGGAAATATTGTGTTAATTTTCTCACCCTCAGACCATCCAACATGTATATGTGACTTGTTTGCTTCAGTATAACAGTAAAGAAGTGAATGTTAGCTAAACCTGTAATCCTTGGTGATTTTTAAAGCTAAATAAAGGAAGTTAACTGCTTCTGACACTTGGCAAGAGTCAAAAAATGACATACAGGCAATCAGAATTTATTAGAAATCTGTTAACTTAAAACTGTGGCCCTTGACAGTACATTTTGGTCTTTAATGTTCTGCTACAGAAAAAAAGTCACGTACATCCTGAATGGGTTGCAGCTTCAAAGGCATTAGCATGTGTAAAACATATCCTGGCTAAGTTGGCGGTTCATTCAGCTGTGGTGACCCCTGATGAATAAAGGGATTAAGCCAAAGGAAAATAAATGAATGACTTTGTTATGATCAACAATCACATTTTGTTTTGTTTTTCTATTCCAGGCCTGTCAGGTTAAACTTAAGGAGCTATTACTACTTGTGGTGCACATCATCCACATAACATCTTTAGTGGTTCTTGTTTTGCTGGTGAGCTCTGTGATTTGAGTAATAATTCATTTATTTATTATTGAAGTGTATAATATATTTACAGTGTATAGATTTGATGTCAATTCTAACCATTCCCCACTTTAGGTATTGTCTTGGATTACAGTGGGACAGCTAATGAGATACCCAGTCCCACAAGAGTATCGAATTCTGGACCAGGACTAAAAACATCCAAATATCTTTAAACAATATTCCTAAATGCCTGCATATTACATTTTAATGTCTTTTTATATATCACTTGTTATTATCTATTCTAATACATAAAGCACTCCATGTTTTCCTGAATTTCTAAGGTGTGACTATTCATATTTTTATAGATGTTTTATTTACACACCAAGGCATTTACTTTGCACAATAAAATAGATACTACTGAATAAAAAATTTGTTTGTTTTTTAATGTTGGCTACAAATGCATTGCTGGCTGTTGGTAAAAATGAAGACAATGGGGTATATGCACACAGATTTTTAATTTCAGTCAGCCAGAATCTAGTTCATGCTCTATGGTCTTGTACAAAAAATTCTAGATTTCTGGAAAAGAGTTCATAAACACATTTGTTTGGTTGTAGATTTTTATATCACATTATGCCCTAGACTATACTAGGTGGTTAGGTGGTTGGATAGACATTGAAATAAAAAATTAAGACATAAAATCCTGGGTCCAAACCAGTTTGCTGATTGGGAGACAAATAATTCTCATGAGTTTGAAATCAGAGGATGCCCCTTCCCTTCAAAAATGGCCGGTAGAACTTGCTAGAGTGGCCACATTTGGAAGAAAATGTCTTATAAGCAAATGGACTAAAGCTAAACCTAAACTATAAAACTGGTCCAAGTACTTAACCTGTTTGTAAATGGAATAGTAATAAATGTGTGAGAAACATACTGATTGTGACAGTGTAACTGTGATATGTTATTGACTGAACTTACCTATTCATTTTTTTTATTGTATTTTATTTTCTCTTTATTATATAAAGATGGAGGCTTTAACTGTATTTAATGACAGCTAAGCCGAGACCTTAAAGTCGTAGTTAGGGATTAGTTTGGGTTGGGTTTGTTAATAGGGTAAACTGTTGGTTCTTTACAGAGTTATATACTGTATTCCATTCTGAAATTTGCCCGAGAATCAATAAAACTATTAAACTCTGAAAAATCTGTGATCATCACTGCCTGATAGATATCCGGGATAAAGTGGGTCTCAGATTGGATGAGAAGCACTGCACAGCCATGTCTTTAAAACATTTATTTTACCACAGTATTTTCAATTGAGTCTCTGCGCTAGCCTGCTGCTAATGACGGCCCCTACCTTTATTTAAATGGTCTTACATCCCTTTTTACTCTTTAACAACCAAAACGAATGCTTAAGTCTATTTAACCGATTATATTTGAATCACATTACGACATTGATGCGGTAAAAAGAACCGTATGAAACTGAAAATAGTCACATACACCTTTCACTGGAAATTCATTAGCTGAAAAACAGCTGTGCATATAGACCATTGTTCAACAAGACAACATTTTTAAAATCAGATTTAAGTTCTCATTTTTCCTGTATCATGAATTTTGTTTCATTGCAGGGCAAATATCACACATTTATTTGGGTCAGCAGAAAAAAATGCTAATTATATTTTGTGAAAGTATTTCAGAGCTTCAACTACTTACAGACCCGTAGCCAGAGTGGATTTGTGTAGTTCGAAAGACCCACCCCCCCCACAGACAAAGGTCCAGATTTTGTATCATACGTGAGCTCATTTGTCCCATTTTGATTGCTAAGCCATCATAAATTGTGAAATTAAGATATCAATAGCTTTAAGACCAAGCAGAATGTGTCATAAATGAAGTCATCTTTCACCACTGACATATTGTATTGTTGTTAAATAGCAAAAACATTTTACAATGAACTTTTATTCTAAGTCTTGAACCTTATTTTTGAAAGAAAAAATGACCAATAAAAAAGTGTAAAGCACCTAGACGTTAATTATAATAATGATTTGACTATTGTTGTAATCGATGAATTTTCAAATGTACTATTTTTTACAAAAGAGGCTGGAAAATTGTCAAGCTCTACATTATTATCATTACTGTTTTAATGATTCAATATTCAAATGGAAAAATTCTGCCTGAGGAAATTGAATTTGATGCTCAGTTTGTTATTTGCCTAATAAATGACAACCATTTTAAATTTAAAACTTTAACAGATTACATTTTTTTCTAATTATATAGGATAAGTTAGGGTAATAAAGTTAAGTATATTAAGTTAAAAATAAGTATTTTTTCTTCATGTTTCTTCATTTTAAATCTTTAGTAAATATTTTTAGTACATCAAAAAGTGTGGTATGTTGACCATCTGATAAGCTAATCCAGCTAAAATAATGCTTAAAATATCTCTAAATCAGCATTTAAACCTCACAATTAAAAAGAAAATGAAGCGAATAACTGCAAAAAGGTCCACTTTTTAGAAAAAGAAAACCATCCCTTTCACCAGGCTGGCTACGAGCCTGATTTAGACTATATCAAATATCGGCCAGTGTCAACGTATTTATTCATCTACTGTATTTTTTGTCATTTTCTACAATGTTTATTCTTGCTATTTGTTCTTATTCCTCGTTTGAGTGTGTTCGTCTTGTTCGCATCATGACGGGAGATTCTTTAGATGCTTCATGTTTACTTACTTGTGCTGTAAAATCTTCCCCCAAATAAAAAGAAATGGAAAAACGACAATAGAAGAGACAAAAACACGTAAAAACTATCTAGTTGTATCATAAGCGGCGGTTTATCTGCATTTGAATGGATTGCGAATGTGGGAGGGGTCGAGACTTCCGCTTCCTCTGCTGAGCTCCCTTGTGGCGTGTTTTTTGTGTCACAAGAGCGCAGCGCCAAAAAGCCACGTTCCGCTAAAGCTCCGCGTGCGTTCATTCATCTGCAGATTCGGAGAGACGTTGAAGTCGGTAAGGGTCCAAATATACATGTAACGTGTGTTTATGTCTTTAAAGTTGCGTTTAATCGTGTTTATCAGGGTTTAGTAACGTTATAACCCCTTCGGTGTCTGAGGCCTGGCTTTATGCGGGTTAGGCCTCTTAGCGCAGCCTGCTCGAGTTTGAACTCGAGAGTTGCATGGGATTTACAGGACGAGTCATCGCGAAAATACGGGGACGGTGTGTGGGGATTGAGGCCTCGTGTTGGATGCTGTTTTGATGTTAGATATATTTTGCAGCCTTTACTTACATTTTTAAGCATGCTGTGTAATTCTACAAGGTTGTATTTCTGTAGCTAAGAGACGAAACCTTAACAATGGCGAGGTAATCTTACACCAGCATGACCGGAAGAGCGACGTCCTGCTGCGGGCGGCTTGTAAAATGTACGCCCCCACGACTAGACTGAATTACAAAAACTCTTTGTTTCATTTATGAGAAACTAACAGAGGCAGAAAAGTGTAGCGAGTGTTTTTTTTTATTCCAGTGCTTTTTTAGTAACGTCCACCGCCTTAAATGTTGCATAAATTGTGTCGTGAACAAATGAATGAAATGATACCGAACTGTACCTGGAGCCGCTTTGTTCACTCAATAGGTGGAGAGAAAATGTTTTCTCACGTTGTCTGCTTTAATTTATGATTATAATTGTTCATTTCTTTATGAAAAGGAATGTATAACGTATTGTGTACTTGAAAAATGTTTCACAAAATGCGAGATTTTTTGCCATGACAATGTGGGTCTGAAGAGAGAAATGAAATGTATTTTACATTTGTGTAAATGTGGTAATACAATTTGGGTAATATTTATGATTATTTATGATTATACGCCTTTATTTGTGGACAGTTTCATCTCTACTTCTGGAGAGGTCTGTAGAATAGAAATTCACTGTTGTTATGTTGAAAGGAAAGCAAATGTGTAGAATAAATAATTTATTGTATAGTGTAAATTATGCATGAACAAAATTCTACAAAATGAAGAATAATTACAACAATACTTACATTCAACACCATTAAACAACAATAAAAAGCCATTGAGGAATAATATACAGGTAAGACAACATAGGTCTGTAAGTAGGCATGGGATGATAACCAGTTTCAAGGTTTGGAAAGGTCAAGGTGGGTTTTTTTTTCTTTGTTTTTTATAAATGTGTAGTAAAGAAATCTGTGTTTGAAATGAGGCTGGGTTAATAATCTATATTAAATCAAATCTTGATAATTAGTCAATAATAATAAGCTCTGGACTTTTTTCCACTCTATATTGATCTAAGAGCCGATCACACAGCAGAAAATGCAATAATGGTAATCTAAAAGTGTGTTGTTATTAACACGGGGTCTTGAAATGTCCTTAATTCCAAAAGCTACATTTTTGGCCTTAAGTCTTAAATCTACCAATATATTGTGTTGTGGGTCTTAAATCTTTTTTTTTTATAACAGGTCTTAATTTTCTTTTGTTCACGTATATCTTCCCAATCTGGCCATTAACATACGAGCATACAACAATGTATGCTCATACAATCACCAACAATCTCAATACAATTTTTATTTATTTAAATATAGCATTTTTAACGCCATTTAACAATGTTTTTTTATTACTTCCAGTAAAATTTGTTTAGTAGTTTTGCATTTATTTACTGCAGAGTATACTGACCAAAGCTATATTTTTTATTATTTAATTATTATTGTTGTATTAAATGTATTCAATTCTGAAAATTTTTTGATTAGGCAAGTGAAAATCTTTTTCTGGCATATTCCAAAAAATTCTTAGCATTTACCTTGTATAAGTTTAAAATTTTATTCATAATTGTCTTAAAACGTCTTAAAAACTCTTAAATTTAACTTGATAAAACCTGCAGAAACCCTGTATTAGAGATGTATTGAATTTTCAGCCACTGAAAATTTATCTGCCGAAATTTTTTTGCTATTTCTTGAACTAATTTTTATGGCTTCAGTCATTGTTGAGATACTCTTTTTAAATCTGGAAACATTAACAACTTGTATCAAAAAATATATCGTTATCGTTTAATATAGAAAGTAATTATCAAGATTGCGTTTTTGCATATTGCCCAGCCCTAGTTTGAAACTAATGAAGGGAGCAGAAATCAATGATTTATTTTTATTGTATAGGCTGACATGTTTACAGCTCAAATATTAGAAATGTTTCCCAAAATAAAATTTATTTTGTTCAATGGTGAACTGTTTTTTTTTTTTTTTCGTTTGTTTTTCAGATATTTAAAAGTACCTATTTTAGAGTACAGTGGTATTTCTATTAAAGGTTATCTTGCCATCAGAAACTTATACCGACCTATGCCTATCTGTAAGTGCAGGAAAATCTGCAAATAACTACATGTAATATTGACATTGCAGTATTTGCATTTTTAGAGTTTTTTTCCCATTTCCAGAAGTGTTTCTTTAAGGGGAAAAAAGCTCATTATTATTTATAAAGAACACCATGTATTCTCAGATTTGTGTGAAGGCAGAATAGACTCAAAGTGAGGTGCTAAAAATACACGCTGAAACAACACTTCTTAATGGCCGATGGTTGTTATTCTTTTTCCACAGGTTATTTCAGAAGGTGGCTCGTCTTTATCTCTTTGCCCTTCTTTTATTTTAGTTTATTTCTTTTAACTCTGAACCCCAAACCCGCCCTCTTTCCTACCACCCCTTTTCGTCAGCGTGTATTTTTATTACCTTATTTTGTTTTTGGTATCTTCAGAGTCGGGATCTGTGACGGCTCTACATGGCAGTCAGAAGGGGACACGTTAGATACTTAAAAGTGAGTAGAATTTGCGTCCATCAGGGACTGAATGTCGATTGAAATTTATTTAATTTTGTCGTTATTCTGAAACTGTACGCAGGACTTAGTGGTGTTCAGTGCTTGTAGGCTGTTTTCGTCCTTGTAGTTCTGTAGCCTGTGATAAGCGAGTAATACTTCTACTGTAATATCAGATTAGTATTTTCAGTAGATGCTGTAGAATCATTAATTAGGTGTTTTCTAATGTCAACTGAAGGCATTTGAACTGTAAATGTTCATAGGGACAAGCTTGTGATTGGGCAGGGAGTAGTCGGATGGAGTGTGACCTGAATTTTCGGAGTTATTCAGAGCACTTTATCAAAACCTCCAATGTTAGATTGTGGGACGGTCAGTAATAATGCCTGTTTGTTTCAGCCTTGAAGGTTGACTG